ATCCTTTTAGGTTTGTTATGATTAGATTAGGTAAAATAAATAATAATAATATTATAATAGAAATGTTTCATGAGACACACATTCGAGCAGCTCATGGGTAATGTAATTCAATAGCGTAACGTGAGCTGCAGATTTCCCCGAGTGATTTACAACTTAAAATGGTGTGGATAGTAGTTAGACACAGTTCAAAGGGCAATAAAAATGGCAATGAAACAATAAAATTTAACTATAAGTAGATGTATACTGTTACGAACTTAGAGCTATTTAGAATAAAGGAATATAATTTCATGTTACCATTTGAAGTCATTCTAGAAAGAAAAAGAGTAATTTAGGTTTATTTCGATTTTTTTTTTTTTGTGGTTGTTCGAATTGACTGATCCTGTTTTGAGATAGGGTAGAGAAACTAACAGATAAACTATAAAGTTTTACTGAAATGCATTTAGGAGGTTTTAGGGATTACACAAAGGAAATTTTGGATTTTTTAAATTAGGAAAAGTATTTTTAATTTTAACATGAAAATTACTTTGCACATGGACTATTCAAAACAAATACTCAATATATTCATTGACAAATAAGATTTTTTATATGTGAAAACTTGTAATATTAACTGAATACTGCCAAGTTTTGTGAAGATATACAAACTATATTAAAAGTTAGAAGAATTAAATCTATAACTACTTTAAACGAGTACAAAAAGATCACGTGGTCAGTCAGATTGACCAAGCTTGTGTTGAGAGAGATAAAAATAACTAGGGGTAGAACTTGTGCTTTGCAAACAAAGCATTTTTTGGTTGTAGTATTTTGTACTTGAATGCACAAAGTTTATAAAATGTAAAGGGTATGTTGTGTATTTAAAGTATTTAAAACAATTATGTGACCTACCTAGACTAATCACGTGTGAGGTTAGGTACACAGAGTTGTGAACAAATCTGATGGGTGTGTGGGGCATCTCAATGACTGTGAGGTGAAACCTCCAGGTTAGACCTATTTCACAACATGTGATACCCATCAAACACCTCAAGTACAAAGATACTTGGAGCCCAATGGTCTGATCAGAAATGAGAAACTGATTGACTTGTCTAGAAAGAAACACCAGATTTAGCAACACTTTTAAAACCTGGGTATTGGGGATAAGTTCCAGTTTCCTACTCAGCAGTTGAACTGCAGATATTGTAGGTGTCTATAAATAAATGAATAATTTCGCACTAAATCTTAACACATAAGCACTGCTGTCTGAGATGAGCCTCTGAGGGATGACAGATCTGTTCCCTGAATATTTTTCTTTTGCAATGCATGGTACTATCTACATCTACCTCTCTATTACACATATGGTGGTGTCTTCTGTATTTCCCTACTTCTGATTTCATTTCTGTATAATTTAATGAAGTTTAAAGAGCTTTCCACACACACATAGTGACATTATCTGTATTTCCTTACTCGTAATCAAATTTTTTACATGGTTTAATGAAGTTTATAAAGTTTCCCATGCACATACACGTAAATGTTAATCTCTTAATTATATAAATTGAGTTGCCCAGTCAATTTGTTGTCTCCATCAGGCAAAGTAAAACAATAATTTTCAGAAAAAAAAAGGCATAATAAATTTTATAAGAAATGTATAGAATAACAGAATAAGTGAGAATAAATGAATTACAAACAACCTTTAGAGACTCAGTGATTTTTCTTTAACATCTTGAGGTGTGGGTAATTTTTTCAGTAACTTCTTTGTATTAATGCAAACAAACAGTACACAAAATAAAAGGTGATTTCACATTGGATGTTACATTGAATACATCAGTATTTAAGGTTATTATAATCATCTACTTTGAAACTAGTGATTATTTTGATATGTTACTGAAAGTTACATTTGAAGTGGTCAAAAGCTTCTTAGAGGTGCAGAAACAGTTTAAGAGAACAAATCAATCTAGGTTTATGAGTGCCAAACAACAACTGTTATATAACAAATAAAAGATCAGTAAAAAGAAAAATCTTGTTTCTATGTAGAACAGAGATATCACAATCAACAGAGACTACTCATACCTTCCCACAAGATAGCAGTAGATACAGCTTGCATAGGTGAGTAATTTTTTCTTATTGGTTCTGTTGTAAAAGTGATAATGTAGAAATATAAATTAATATATATGTTACTAATAGAGTACAGTGATACTGTAACCTAGGTAAACTAGAGTTGATGATGTGGATAATATGGTGATATACAGGTATATTATAAAATCTTGATGGTCAAGATTGAATGACGTAGTGTGAGAATTTTTGGTGAATTTGAATGGTTTATTCATACATGGGCTTTCTTCTGGGATTTTTGTGGATTTCTGAAAATCTTATTTTGTGTAAGATGATATTCTCAAATACAGTAGCCATTCTTACAGTACTGCTGTTCAGTTCATGTTAAATGTGCATTTTGCTTATAAATACATTTTCTTTTTTTATTGTTGCTAAAGGGTTATTTGTACTGTAAATAGGTTTAGCTCAGGTGATAAATATTAATAAGGTAGAAATCATAGCTGAAAATCTCCATTTGGATACACTTATAACTTTGTGTAATTATGATGATTGACTTATAAGAACTTCGAACATTTTCATAGACCAATCTCTGCAGATAAGTCAATCAGAACACAGAGCATAACTGGGAGTGCTTTTTGGTAACCAATAGGCTGTTTCTGTCAATGGACATGTTTTCACTGCTATTTGTTAGAATGATAGGTGTATTTGCCATGTGATGTGCTTCCCAAAATAATGTTGTTATTATTCTTCCAAATATGTAAGTCCAGTCCTCTGGTGCAAAGGTTAACTGTTAAATGCTTGAGTGTGTGTACTGAATGTCATTATAGATATTGACAGTCAAGATCGTTGATGGGAAAGATGCAAACATGATTCAGGAAACAGATGCATCAGAGAAGAACAAATGGAATTGAGCCTGTTTGAGAAAAAAAGTTATTGATGTCATCAAAATATTGTCTAAGTTACAATGGAAGGATGGTTTTATTGGGAGCAATTTAGATAACTTCAATAGGAAGGAACACATATGTACAAAGTAAAAGATCATAATGTATATAAAAAAAAGTTTCTTATAGGCCCTAGATCTAGTGCATTGCATATTACTTGTATTGGTGATGCATCATGCTTTAATTTAACCAAAAATCTCTAGGCTTAGGCCTGTCAGGTGCATCTAATTTTTGAAGTTAGCCCTAATTTTAGTGTCTTGTCCCTAATTAGTCTATGTATCCCCATATCAATCAAGATATTGAGTAACATCAATTTATGCAAGGAAGGAATAAGGTAATGGTAAGAAACAATGGTGCCTGCTGTCAAAAAAAGAAAACTGGTCATGGTCACTTTGTTCTGTATAGTTCCAACCAAACAGATTAAAATAAAATGAAGTGAATGAATATACTTATTTGGCTGTTTTTGAGTGTTTTTCTTTTTCAACTTTCTTGGTTTTCAATGAATTCTGAATTAGGCCTCTTAAATAGCAAGAGCATCTAGAAACACAATTTCTTGGGGCTCTGGGTGACACCTAGACCCCTGTCAACCTAATTCACTGCATTAAACATGTGTGTGTGTGTGTGTGTGTGTGTGTATATATATATATATATATATATATATATATTATTTACATTGCTTTTTTTTCTTATTTTGTTATTTCTTGCTTTAGTTTGTGTTTTTCTTTTGTTTTGTTTCTACGTTGTTTACGGGGTTTTTAAAACAAATTTTAAAGTTTATTGCACTAGAAGGTTACATTCTTGAATTTTGAAATTATTTTATTGATGGATAATAAACTACCCCATTTTCTATTCAAACTGTAGTGTTTATGCAGCTTTGCATTATAACAAATTGACAAATAAATTTAGTTTTTGCTGGTTGTTTCCCATAATTAAATTTCTTTTCATGACAAAAAATTAGCCTTACGACATCTGGTACTGGTTTCAAACAACTGTAAGATTGATTTTGCTAATTAAAAGTTGCTGAAATTAGACAGTTTAAAGTGGATGTTCTAAGAAAATTCTTTTAAGAGTCTTCCCAAGGAGGGGCTAAGTAACTAAATGCTAGAACTAGTTATGTTATGAAATAACAAAGATAAAAGAGTAGAAATAAATTTTAACTTGCGAAATTAGGTCTAACAGCAGAAAATTCAGAATTGCCTCTGCAGATAGTTATGCAATCACAGGTGTATAGAAGTATCATACAGTATATTGTAGTGTTTCAGCTAGATTTGATATCTTGCTCTCAAAAGATTTAATTTTCAGAAGTTAGTACAATGATGATAAACATGATTCAATTCAGTTTTTCATTGGCTGGGCACATTGCATAACTACCCACCTTATGGTTTGTGTCCAGATGATACATGTCTGTTTTATAACTGCATTGTTTCTTTTCTTTCTTTTTTTATTTCATGTTTTACATAATGTTACAATTAATTAGATATATATATATATATATATATATATATATATTATATATACACACACACACACACACACACACACACACACCTTAATGTTTATTTGTATCTTTCATAAGGGTATAATTTCTGTCTTAAAATTTAGTATGACCTCACATTGTAATTAAGTAAACTTAAATTTACATTAGACTGGAAGTGATTGTTGAAGGATTGTCACGTAAAGTATCTTCTATGATGGATCTGATGCATGCAGAGAGATCTGAGATACGGGAAATCCAGTCTACACTGAGAGAACAAATTCAGCAACATAAGGTACTCCACAATCAAGTCCAACGTTTGGAACGTTTGGACAGTTCCATATGTTCCAGAGTTGAAAATGTGTTAACAAAACAGGCACAATCTGAATGTATCCTTTCATTTTTATTTAAAGTAAAAAGTTATCCAGGATGTTTTTGTAATTATCAACTTTTTTTCAACTTTCATTGTGAAGTTTTTTCTGATTTCTAGGTTAACATGTACTATTTCATCAGCATTTGTTTATTATACTTATTTTCCTGTTAACTGTTAATTAAGCAAGTAACATATTTATGAGAAAAAAACTGGGCTACACAAATTTTAAATAACTACAAGAAAAACCCAAAAATGACCAATAATCTAAAGTTAATAAAGATATGTAATAAAATATATCAGAAGAACATTGTTGTTAATTGAGTGTATTGCCAGTTGTATATTTGAAATAAATAGAAAGTTGCTTTTTTAAAATTTTATAATAGTTTTGAATTCATAGTATATGGGCATGTAATTGGGACATGTGTATTCTGTATCTGTACCTTGATATTAGTTAATCAGTTACGAAAATGCAAACCCTGTTTACTAAGAGAGAAGACTCAGACCGCCAGTGGTTAGAAAGACAAGCCTCGACACTTTCTCAGGCAGTAACTTTAGCTGTTGGCAACAAATTAGATAAAACCATAAAAAATGAAATAAAAAATTTGGTTCTGCCAAGTAAGTTTATTTGACAATTAAAATGTTTTATATCATATATAGTAGTTAACATATTGGAGCTTCTTAATATATACCTTTCTCCGTACACATATAATAAAAGATATCTTTCAAAAAATATTGTTTTAAGTAAAAGGTTTTGTGCATCTTACCATGAGGGCAAGATTACATCATTGATTTAAAATAATTATGAAAAATAAGCATGTAGCTGTTCTTCTATATGTGTGTTTGACGATAATATTTCAGAGTTGAAGTTAATTAATAAAAGTTTTATTTATTTAATTTTTTACTTAAAAGTTTTTAAAAATTGCAAATTTTGATTTTGTGTTGATTTCAGCACACTCTGAATTGAAAGCATTAGTGCTCATAGACTTCCTGAGGATAATATGGTACTTATAGCCCTAGGGAGATATTTGAAATAGTATTTAACAAAACAGTGCTAATCTGAACATTGTAATATTAATACCATTGCAGTTCTATTGAATTTAGGCAATCATTGTTTCTCATCCTTGGTTTTCATGTTTTGATGTAATTGCCCATATCTTAGCTTTAAAAGTCTTAGGTTAGTGATATAAAAACATAATGAAAGCTCTTTTTTTGTGTGTTATTTTCAACTGTATAAGCCAAATGTGGAAATTAGCATAGACATTGGAACAGAATAATAAAAGCTGAGCTTGGTGATATGTTGGTTGAAGAAAAAAAAGTTTGTGTACAACTTTTGCCACAATTACAGTCCTGACTTTTTTAAAGCTTATTTTATCATTTTGTACCTAATTTGAATTTTGAAAGTGCAGTATGAAAGAAAAGGGAATGCTTTTCATTTGAACAAGATAAGGTAGGCTTAATTAGAATATTTTACACTTGACATACCAAGTTTCATTTTACTGATAAGTCTACTGTTTGTTAGGCCATATTTAATTTAGACCTTATTGGCCTAAGTAAATACTTGAATATACAAAGAAAATTGCTTTAAAGAAATGTAAATTTTTTATATATATATATATATATAAAGGAATATAAAATGAGTTTAATAAAATTTATTACAATTATTAAATGAAACCTTCTGATCAATAATTTAAAAATTCTGCTTTTTTTAATAATTTTAGTATGGTTCACCAATTTTTATTGTACACCAAAGATCATAAACAGACAAAACTATAGGCCATGTTTTTCAAGTCAAAACAAAATTAAAGTTTATGGAAGTGCAGTAACTCTATATGAAAGTTTTACAAAAATCTAGAAAGATAGAAAGTTCAATAATTGAAATCTATAACAAAGGTAAGCATTTTGGTTGCTTCTTAAAAAGAAACATATCACAATGAAGCATTTTCAGTTTTTTAAAGCTTTGAATTTTTAAAAATATCACATAAAAATAAGATATAATACTTCTAGAAATGCTACATAATCTGAAGAAAGTTTGTTTGAAGTTTCAAACTGGCTGTTTCATCTAGTAGTTTTTTGCAATGCAACAAAACAAACAACTACAAGTTTTAGAGGCAAATAAAATTTGTCAGACTTTAGTACTTGGACATTGAGTTTAATTTATAAATTAATGGAATTCATTTGGTTTTTAATGCATGCATTGTGTTTCATGATAATCGTAATATTCTTTCAGTGCAAGGTGCTGGAATTTCTTATTGATAAAGATAAACAATTTAAAATAGTGTATTATAGAGACTAATCTTTTACACATGTGTTTTGTTACGCACAAAATCTAGTACTTTGGTAAAAGATTTTGTTGTATTTTTGATGTGTTTGTTTTTGGTAAGTATGTTGTTTATCTAAAACAGGGCATGAGAAAAGTGATGTTTAAAAAGTATTCTTAGGGCCTGTAGTGGTTTTGGCCTGAAGAAATGGACAGATCACATATATCTAAATTAAATTAACACCTGTAACAAATGCAGAACTTGATTATTCCCACAACTTATATTATTTTCTCGGTATCATTGTAGTTTCTAGCTATTTAGGTCCAACAGTTATTATTAATGTAGTTAACCCTTTCCACATGAGTCAAAGGCCATGTCATTGCATTTGTTGATTTGCATTCAAAATTTTATTGAACTGCTATTTTATGAATTTATATCAATAAGTTTGGTCTCAAACTGTAGATTATAATTCAAATTTTAGTATTATACATTATTTGATTTCTTAAATTAAAAGTAAATAAAACACACACACACACTTAAACATTGAATTTTATGTGTCACATGGTATGTTGAATGCAGCATGGGTTAAAATTAGATGTTTGTGATGTCAAAATACAAAGTCTATAGTTTCATACTAATTAGGAACTCAAATTACCAATATTAAGAAGCTAGCATATAAAATAAGAACTTCCTATTTTTTCTATTTGCCAAGATATTGCTCATGTACTGAATCAAACCCAGTGGCCCTGCTCACCTCTTTCCATTTTTGGAAACACTCCCATATATACACTTACTTCTATATATGACATGAATAACCAATCAGAAGCTCAGAATTTCCCCTAGTAGTTTTCTCAGCCATTTTCAAATATTACGACATTTTCATGTTCTTTTGATACAAATCTTCAAGTTGGTAAGGTGAGTCTTTAGTCTTTTTATTGTTTCTGAATTGTCAGTTTCATAAAACTTTTTTAAAAACTTCAAAACAATAGTGTACTGCATGAATGAGGATGAAATATTTGGTTAGGCCTAACTTTTTTTTCAGTATAGTTGATTGAACCTGTATTTCACTCATAGAAGTATATTTACATTTAAACATAGTTAACAAGGACACACCAGGTTCATATAAGATTTAAAATATCTATTAATCTTAGTTTTTCCAACAAATTTTGTCATTTCAATGTCACAAATAGAAATTCTAAGCCATTGAAAAATATTCACTTGGAAAAAAATTCATCATAGCATCAAGATGATGAATTTGGTGGCAGATCAGTTGTCTTGACCTAACTGGATTCTCCAGACAGCATGGATGCTGCATCGCAAGATTTTCATTGGATTTGCTTTTGGTTCGAGACACTGATGATCGATGCATTTGCCACTCATTGGAACACTCAGCTACTAGCATTTTGGTCTCTGGTACCTCACCATTGGGCAATATATGCTTTCAGTCAGGACTGGATGAGATTGCACCTCTATGCCTTCCCACCGATTTGTATGTTACCCAGAGTACTAGCTATGATTCCTTCAACCCCATATCGAGCACTGGATTGGCTGGCTCAGTTTTGGTTTCCGCTTTTGCGGTACATTCAGGAGTGCCCACCTCTTCTGCTTACTCTTTGGCCACCTCTGTTGAGGCAGCCATGATCCGACATCATACACCCAGCCATCCTGAAGCTCAAGCTTCATGCGTTGAGGTTATGCAGTCCTTTGCATGGCATCAGGGTTTAACTTTAAGGTTTCCATGTATCTGTCTCAGTCTTTTTGTAGTCCCACGACATTTATCAGCAGAAAAAGCACACATATCAACAAAGATGTATTGCAAGAAGGTTGAACCCACTTCGTCCAGAAGTGCCAACCATAATGCATTTTTTGACTTGGATCTTTGACTAGGGTTTCACATTTTCCACAAATGCCTTATATACAGCAGTCCTATGGACTATCTTTAGATACTCGAAGAGATGAAAATTGTTTGAATTTAAGCCTAGGTGGCATTATTGGTATGTAAATGATTATGTGGGTATACAAGTCCCAACCATGCTTTTAACATTACTCCTGAAGATGGTGTCATAGGACACCGAAACATATGTTGATTCTTTTTTAGGGCAATTCCCTGTTCTTAATAACTAGTTATTGTGTAATGATTTTAATGTTGTATTCCTTTTAATTGTAAATAAATGTTTTACACAAGTGTCATTTTAAATCATTTAGTTGTTTCACTGCAAGGTATCCTGGAACCCATAAAGCTAAACTTATAGTCTATAGTCTCTCGGTGGAGCAAGTTTTGCTGCCTCAATTAGTTATTTCACTAAAAATATTACTTCAACACATGAAACCTAATTTGTGCATTATCACTATGGAGTAAGACTTACTGCCTCAATAGGTATTTCATTGCAAAGTTTAAACCTATCTTGTGTAGTATATCCCTGAAATAAATCTTGATGACAAATAGTTATTTCACTGATAAGTTACTTTGGAACATGAAGGTAAACTTAACTTGTGTAGTACTGCCTCAGTACCTATTTTACTGCAAAGTTTACTCAACCTATGTAGCTAAACCTATAGTGTGTAGCATGTCCCTGAAACAAATATTGCTGATTCAGTTATTTCACTGCAAAGTTTACTGAACCCCATGAAGCTACACTTATCTTGTATAGTATTTCCTTCAAACAAGTCTTCTTGACTAAATATTTATTTCACTTTAACTCTATTGTTATGGGTAGCAACGGGTAAGAGGGCATGCCATCACGTTTGTAACTTACATTGAAAATTTTTTGAACTACTGTTTTATGAATGTATGTCAATAAACATGGTATCAAATTGTAGATTTTAATTCAAATCTTAGTATTATACATTAATTAATTTCTTAATTTGAAAGTAAACATTATAAAAAATAGCTAAATATCGATTTTTTTGTGTGTCACTGGTATGTCAGATTACTGGTTTGGTCAGATTATATTTTATGATGCCTACAATACAATGTTTATAGTTTCATACGAATTATAAGCTCAAATTTTTTATATTGGCAAGCTAGAATATAAAATAAAAACCTCCTACCTTTTCTGTTTGCTGAGATATCATAATATTTATCAAATCCACCATATTAGCTCTGCCCACCCACTTCATTACTTGAGAAGACTTGTTTATCTACGCCTGCTTTCAAAAGCTCTACATTTCCTCTACTTAATTTTGTTATTCTTTCAAAGCTATTTATGAGAGAAAAGCTCTTATATTGTTGGAGAGTTTGAAGTATTATGATCAGTACTATATTCCAAACAGAAATTAGATTTTTTTAGACCCAAATACAGCATAGCTAAGAAGCCTTGTAAATTACAATAGATTTTTGTGGTATTGGTATAGTTATTTACAATTTTTTGGTAGTCAAAAATGAATATATAAAGTTACAAAAATTATTATTTTTCTACATTGAAATATGAATTTGGACAAGGCTTATGAAGCAGGTTAGCAAGTATGACTCACGAATGCTAAAGAAAACTTCAAAACATCATTAGTAGTGTGGAGATCATTGTTTTCTGAATACTTTTGATTTACTGTTCTATGTTTTAAGAAAAATAACTGAAATTTAAATACTTTATATATATGTGTGTGTGTATGGTAACCAAAACTTCACTGTACATTACAAATTATTGGAAACTATGTATTTATTGGTTACTGTGTAAGCATGGTAAAATAGGAAACAGGATGTTCATAAACACTTTCATGCCTATACTACCACTAAATTCCAACCACCTAAGTTTTTTACAGAGCCATATCATGAATATTTTCTCTCACTTTTATTAAGTACTTTAGACAGTTCTTGTTGCAACCACTGTACTGTAAAGAAGCTGGAAAATTTTACCCCACTTTGTTTTTGGAGCTGTGATTTGAATAGTTTCTGTAGGATACATCTGCTTGTCAACTTATTGGATTGGCACGGATTTTACAAAGTCATAACATAAACATTTTATAATACTTCAGACGATTGTCATTGGAACCATTATACTGTCAACAAGTTGATAAATTTCATTGCTTTATATTTGGCAGGTTTCTACTTCAGCCACTAACAGTAGAATAAACATATGAAATAAGTGTGAAAAAGATTATAAGAAACTCTCAGGTGATTTACTTTGGAACTTCGTGATCCATACTGAAATAGGAGAGACAGTACCATTCATTTTGTTTCATCTAATTTCTAATAATAAAATTACTATAGAAAATAAGTGTGAAAAGGTGAGAAGTATAAACTCTTTGAAACTTTGCAATCAATACTATACATTTTATTTTGCACATTACAACCTTTATTTTCATTATACAACCTGGAGAATCAAGTGTAATTTTACAGTAGAGGAAATAAGAGATAAAATATAAAGTTCTAATGAAAATAGTGTTTGATATTTAATTACAAGGTTATTTATTTTCCTTTGTATTCTTTATTTATTATTATAAAAGTAACTAAAAATCATAAAAATATAAACTTATTACATAAGATAATGAAAGAAAAATAATAAAAATCTTCATGGTGTACATGCATGAGCAGCTTGTATGTTAAACTATTTGATATGTCAACCTTTTCTCAATGGGCTCTGTATAATATAAGCAAATTAAGTATTTATACCATACCTTTTAATGCAGAAGTATATCTTCATAAAATTTGATAGACTTTTAGCAAAGATTACAAGTCTTTTGTACACAAAAAATCAGATTTTTTTAATTAAGTATTACTATTACAGATTTGTTTGTGAAAATATCAAGTTTGTTTCATTACCAGTCAAAGTGCAAAGTGATTTTCATGTTATAACTAAACAACTATTGTTCATCCCAAAAATCTCAAATATTATTTATTTAATCTCTAAAACTTCTCGGTTACATTTCAAACATGTGTTTTCAGTTAGACTTTATATTTTTTCTGTTATTTTCTCTACCCTAAGTCTATGGGGTTTGTCAATTTGATCGGCCTCATAACCACAATAAAAAGTTAGGAAATAACTTTAAATTATGCTTTTTTCATTCTAGAATGA